TTTGTTTGTGTTTTTGAGTGTTTTGCAGAATTTTTTAACTCTTCAAAGAGGAGGGATCTACAAGAGTCCATTATGCAGGGTGATTCGTGTTCACTTTCTCTTACCAAAATCTACTTGGAAACCAACATTTAAGCCAATTACCGGAATACCATATGTAACAGATGGAAGTTCTCCTCCGCCTCTCGCGACAGGAAGATTTTTCGCTGCTTCTCTTTCTCTCCTTGAGGTCACTTAGCTCGGCCCGAGGAAGAACACATCATATAAGACATCAAGTAAATAAAGAATGAAAATGAGCTTGTGTTAGCTACAGCAAACGTGGTATTTTTGCCTCGTGTGTAATATCCATTATGGAACCCTACCTTTTCCCGTCCTTTATGACAGTTTTTAGTCTGTATTTTGTACTCCGTAGTTTCTTATGGGCGGTCGAGACTTTAAATTGCATCGCAGTCAGGTTTTTACCTGAAGAGTGATTGAGTAATTTTAAGTCGGCTAAATATTATTTCAGGTATTTATAGATGACATAACAGAATTAAGGTAATAGACTTTTTGAACGCGATGAAAGATTTTAGGTAACGGAGTATTTTTGGAGCAAAGAATATGCTTGGAAAAGATTATTCAAAGCAAGTATTTATGTAACTGAAATGTACAGAAGGAATAAGATGGTTATATATTACAGAATAAATGTTTTCATGAAAGTATGTGGTCGACTCTGATACGCCATATCTCACTTATTTCATTAATTCTTTTCTTAGTGCTATAGCATTTCAATGTATTTTGTTGTTGTTGTTATCTTTTTTTCTATTTAATGAAAAACGCACAAATTTGACATAAACCTGCATTATTTTAATGTACAGTTTTAGCCATGCTTGTTGCGGAGATTCACTTGCTCAAATAATCAGTCACTACACAATTACCGACTACTTACTTTCCGTTTAGCTATTCCTGTAATGAAGATGGCTAGGTTCCAACTGGTGATAACATCAAATTAATTTATAACAATCTCATTATCACGCCACAGGTTGGAGAAGATTATGGGGAGTATGTGTGTCACGTTACAAATGCCTTTGGCTCAACATATGAAATCACCCTGCTCAATAGTGAAGGTAGATATTTTTTCTCACATTTTGAACGTGATCAAAATGATCTTTCAACAAGTTTTAAGAGCTTCGAACTTCAAGTTCAAGTCCGGTTTGCAGTTTTAGGCTTCCAATTACAGCTGCTTAGACAGTTTTAAGCAGGTCTTTGTATATATCAAAAGCAAAATAATGTAGTGGTCTCATACACCGAAGTTGTTCAGTGTGAATTACATTCTCTTTCTCCAGTTAGAAATTTTTTTTAGTGTACGATCCAGGTCAATCATTCCGTACATCAAAATTGGCCTGTCAGGTTGTAACTAAATCAAAACAGAGTTATATGCATCAATGTTGAGATCGAGAGGGCTCAAGGTTAGAATATCTCTGTTTCACTTATTAGTTGGTTCCGAAATTTCAAGAGGTCATATAAGTGACTTGATAACAAGATTTCGAGTTAATAGGCGTTTAAAATTTCTGGCATACAATAAGGTACGACCAAGAGACGACACAACAGAAATTTTGAAATTGTATTCATGTTTCGTGGATAAAAAAAGCGTCGTATTCCTTTGGATAAATCAACCCTAAGTAACACATCCATGCATCGAAACAAAGTAACGAAGCAGTTTTCAGTGTCTGATAGCTGCTTCGAAAGTTGTTTTCTTTTACTAGATACACAAAGCATCTTACTTGCCAGTGTCATCGCATTGTCTTTTACTGTGTTCGTGTTGCTCGTTAAAATTTGTGGGCTGATATGGCAGCAAAGCCGATCGCGAGCTGTTCCTAATAAATGGATACAGAATAAAGAAGAAATTGACTTTAATGGCGTCAAATCTTCACCTGATCAACAGTCAAGTAAGGAAGAAGCTTCAGATCCAAACACATATATGGAACTCAAACCCAGGCCTTCCAACCAAAAGTATAAACTGTTCTACAAAAAGAAAGACTTAGGTTTTGGAACCTCATTGACTATCGACAATGGAAAAACATCAAAAAGAGTCATAAACCTTGATGAATACACTGAATATGAATTTCAAGTGTTGGCCTTCACTTCTGCCGGTAGTGGTCCGAACAGTTCTTCTGTGTTCACAAAAACTATGGAAGATGGTGAGAATCAGAAGTGCTTCAACCATCATTTCAATAAACGTTTTTATAATACTTGCTGACATTAAGATGATGTTAATGACTGGTTTAGGGTGTTGGCCTTCAAGTTTGGACTTCGGGCCGGTATTGATAACATATTCTTTTTTTGACATGCCTTGCGAATAATCAGCTCTTAGAAGTTTGCTATCATGACTTGAGTTGTTCAGTTACTCAGTTATGGACTTGTCTTTGATATAATTCTTAGATTTCCTTATGAAAAAGCCAATAGCTAAACACCTAAATACGGGAGTAGTACGTTCTTATTTTATAATTTACAACATACTACAAAGTAATGATTTTCTGTATCATTCTTGTATTAATAATCACAATATCTTTGTTCTTCCAGCTCCCAGTACACCTACGTCTTTGTCTTCTGTTGATGTGCCACCTAGCAAATTACATGGTCCAAGAATAACCTTGTCCTGGAGTAAGCCTACAGAGCCAAATGGAGTTATCAGAGGTTACGATTTGTTTTACAGTCACAGTGGAGGTGCACCAAAAGGGATTCCTCTAATGGACAGAGATACATTAAGACACACGGTCGATGTGTTGGGTGGAATGACTTATCGTTTTCATGTCAGAGCTGTAACTATTAAACCTGGAGCAAATGGGACGTTAATCATATCTACCAAGGAATACGGTAAACTTTGCTTTCATATCTTTAAAATGACTTTTCATGACTGATTATATGTTAGAACAACAAGAACTCTGATATAACCATATTTGTATCCTAGAAAAGACGAATCTTTATATATTGTGTTGATTAAAAGTACAGACAGTAGCTGGCCACCCAAAATAACTTAAGGGCTAATAGCGTGTAGGGAATTAATAGCAATTAAACTTTTTTATTCGCTATATAAATATATAGCTTACAGATTAAAGCAGGGCGTTTTCTCTTGATCATGATGAGCTTTTTGTACTTTTCTTAGAACCCAGTGTTGGCCCAGATTCTCTTGTTTCCTCTCAATTGAACAAGACGACTTTTAACATTTCATGGGAACTCCTTCAGGATGAAATGAGTTATGGAAGAGTTATTTTGTATGAAGTCA